CCCCCCAAAAAAAAAAATACAAAGATCTCAAGCTATGCTCATTTCCAGTTTAAAAGGGTTGTTTGCAGATACTAATTCAAATGCCAACGGAATTACCCTGAAGCTGCATTTGTGAAAACAGTCTCAGGTTTTAAAAAATCAAACCATCACCAAACATGCTTTTTGTTTTCTTTAAATGTAAAGGAAGACAGGAAAGGGTTGTTCTTGTTCATGTTCTTTTCTTCAACTCTTTTTGGAGCTTTGCTTTTGGCAGAGGATATTAGATGATGCCTGATGTAAAAGTACTGATTATGCTTGCCATCTGTAGACACATTCATCGTTTCAAGGTCCAATAATGATGCAATGCCAGATAACTGAGAAACAAACGTGACTGGAGAAGAACAAGGTAAGAGACACAGACAAAAAGGGGAAGTTTTATTAATTCCAATCACTTCCCAAATAAAATGGACATCCTTTTACAAATCCTTATCCATGCATATACAATTGAAATGTACATTACATGATTCCAACTAATTTCTCAGCTTTGTTCAATCATGTAGACTGAGATATGAAGTCATCTCATCAAATCTAAAGATTGACTCTTCGTAAATTGAACAAAGTAGAGATCTAGCTCTTTTAGCATCAAATTTCACATTCTTTTTGCTTCTATCTTTTAATATGACGAAACAATCTCAGCAATACCACCATCAGGTTATGTTGAAAGTTCAAAAAAGGATTTTAGATTGTAAGGTGCAACAACATCTGCAGTTCCATTCCACAGTAATTCGGCGTATTGTTGGTAGGCTAGCTCAGTGGGATGAAACGAGTCGAAAAACAAGTAATCTTTCACGTTTTTACACAGCTCGTACTTTTTTACCTGCCTCTTACCTCCACAACTATAAATCCCTCGAAATGCACCAGTCCCACAACAAGCAGTCTTTGATGTCTTAAAACCTAAACAAAAGCAAAATTGTAAGTAAACTAAGGAAACATTCTTTAGATGATAATTAAACATTATACTTTGTATTTCCTTTATGTTGAGCATTGCCTCAACATGTGATTTAACCGATTAAGATTTAAGACCCACGTTCTATTCTATAAGCAGGGCAATAAAATTTCTGGCACTGTGCAGACATGGGATGGAAAAGACAGATAAAGAAAAACCTATAGTACTTATTACCATATTAGCTGTGTTAACACAAAATAAACACTGAAAACAGAAACGAACATAAAGAGACGGATTTTGGGTTCGATGAGATAAACATACCATATTTTGTTGGATTATCAATGCTTTCGGCAAATACTTTGAACAAGTTGAATAATGTATACTTAAATCCAGGTAATTGCTTCTCCAATTGCTTGAGAATTTTTGGGAGAGCCGAATTATGCATTTTCACCAAGTTTGTGACCTCCTCTATGAAATCACCATTCTTAACTCCTTTTTGAGCATTAAGAGCCCTAATATTAGGAAGAGAACCTATGGGAACCATATTAAGCATGGCAAATTTTCTCCCTCCTTCCCTGTAAATTCCCTGTTGCATTAATTTAAGAAAGTATAAAGAATTAGTCTAGCTACTCTCTAGCCAATACTCAACTTAGGACATGGAAAAAAAAAACTCAAATTTGACAAACAAAAGAATTTACACACAGAAGTTTTAATTTGTCATTATTTCACAGAAAAAGAAAGTAACAATATCTGATTTCATCCCAAATAAATTACAAATTTTGATTTGCTTTGGTCAAAGTCATTTGTATCATATACACTTTTCTAAAATGGACGACAAAATGAAAACACTCATCACTAAGCAAATACTTCCAAGTCTCAAATAGATAAAAATGTAAAAACTAACTCCAAAGAAAGACAAAAAATTTAGGATGAATCCATTACCTTCAAAACAGATGTCAAATTGCCCATAATCATTTGTAGATATTCTCTTTCAGGATATGGAATAGTCGAATTTGTTGAGAAAGGAGCCAAGTAATCATTACCACCAGCGCTAAAAATATATACAGCATTGGAGAGGATCTGTTTGGATTCCGTCGCTCCCACCTTCTTCTTCAATATTTCTACCACATTTTTGAAATATTTCAACTGTGTGTTGAGATCTATAACCTGTCAAATGGAATCAATACTTTAGAGAAAAAAAATCCTGGTAATACTAAGTAACTTGCAGAATTTGACATAGAAGGATTATGGTTATTTAACAATCTTCTTATCAAATAAGTTATGTAAGAATCTTATCCTGAACATAAAATAGCATGTAGAGTATTATACAAATAGACTTGAGCCTGTTAGATGATGCAAAGTATAAACCTTTGAAATGTTACACAAACTTTAACTAGAAATAATCCGGCATGTGATTGAAAATTAAAATTTAATTCTTATAAAGCATTAACTAAGAATGTTAATTTTATAAATCAGAATAAACTCTTTTTCGCCATCAAGCAGTTAAAGTATCCATATGTGCGATTGAGAAAGACAAAACTTAAACTTGAACCTCTTAGTAGATCAGACTAGCAAGGAACTTTTACTCGTTTAACAGTAGAGAAACTTATCCCATTACAAGTCCATTTGTAATATTTCGACACATGACAGACACTTTTGGAAGGTAAAAAGATTGTATTATTATTGTGTTTGCACCATTTGGGAGAAGTTTTCTGTGGATGTATTCGTGAGAAAAAGTTGCAAAGACGAGTTTGGAAGTTTGTAATTCCAATGTTCTGTGAGTATATATAAGGTTACTCAAGAAGTCTCTTTTAGAAGGCACTTTCAACAAAATACACCAATCTAAAGATTCTCAAAAATACTTAACCAAATAATCCTTTCGGAAAACTGTGCAAAATTCTTCAATAAACTCTGCATGGTCCAACAGGAATAGGTAGGAACAATATGGAAAACACTTCTCAAAAACCTTGGAAGATTTTCTTTCTCTTACTTTAATAAGAGTTTATATGGAACCAATTATATCAAAGACTGCTACCCTATATTGATTTAATTATCAAAATCAAACATGAATTACTTAGAAGTTAGAACTAATTCAAAGGAAACATCAGTTAAAAACAAAAACAAAGCAAAAAGGAAATGCCACTTACAAAGCCACGATGGGTTTCGGCCAAGCAACCAGCACCGCCTGATGCAAAGTTTACCCCATGAACAAAGTGTTGCTTGCCAATTTGAAAATACGATGGAATCGATGGCAAATTAGCATGTTCAGCTGCAAATACAACCAAAAATCAAAGTTTCATCACCTCATGTGTCCGTAGCAAAATAATTCTTGTAGGCACATTGCAATCAAAGTTTTTAAGATGACTATAGAATATCTATCTAAAGAGTGGATCTCCCGTTTATTGTGAAAAGTCACTTAACTTCCTTTCACATAACATAGTCGGTCACAAACCTGATAAGAAAATAGCAACTCATTTCCTGTACCAATGTGAGAACTGAATTTATACACAACAATAACAACAACATACCTAGTGTAATCCTACATGTGGGGTATGGGAGGGTAGCATGTACGCAGACCTTACCCCTACCTTGAGGGGCAGAGAGGTTGTTTCCATTAGACCCTCGACTCAAGGAAAGCAAAATCACAGCAGTTTAAACAGAAATACAAAGTGAATGGATACGCATGATCCTGTAATGATCCATTAATCACCACAAAATCAATATTGCTAGCCGGGTTCGAAGTGAAGAAGCTGAAGATCAACAGTAACAGAAATTATGAAAGGGAATAACAGAAATTCAAACAAACAGCTGAGATTAAATTAGAGTTAATAAGCTGGGCCAGGATGGAGCCACGTCAGCTTGAGGTTGTTAACTTGTTATAACCACCTTCAACGGAAAGAGGACGGCAACAATTATCAGGTCATTTTCTCTCTTCTCTCTTTCTTCACTCGATCTCTTCTCTCTCTCTCGATTCCCTTCTAACCTCTTCTTCTCCCTCCTTCATTCTGCAGATCTCACCAGCTATGGAGTTCCAATTTAGAAGATAGTTATTTTCAGTTGTTTTGTAGTTCAACTTCTTCTTTTCATTAATAAAAACAGAAAATTGTCCAAAAAATTCTCTCAATTTTGAAAAGTAGTTGGGGATAGGAATGAGGGAGGTAATTCATTGTTCGAGTTTGCTAGAGCTTTTGATTTGGTTATAGCTAACTCGAGTTTCCCGAAGAGGGAAGAGCACCGGGTCACTTTTCGAAATTTAATGGGCAAGACTCAGATTGATTATCTTCTCTGCAGGAAAAGCGACAAAGGTTAGTGCACTGATTGCAAGGTCATCCCGAGTGAGCACCTCACGACCCTACATAGGCTCCTCGTTATGGACCTGGAGATCAAGAGAAGTAGGAGGAAGAGGGCGGGGTGCAGGCAACCTAAGATCAAGTGGGGTAACTTGACCAAGGACAAAGCTCAAGAGTTAGGGGAGAAGTTGTTGGCTATGAGGGCCTGGACGAGTATCGGAGACGCGTCTAGTATGTGGTCCATGACTGTGGATTGCATTAGAGTAGCTGCTGGAGAGGTCTTAGGGGTAATGAAGGGTTCTCCCGGGGGACATAAAGGGGACTAGTGGTGGAATGGAGAGGTTCAAGGTAAAGTGGAAGCTAAGAAAACTGCTTATTTGAAGCTAGTAGAGTACAAACGAGGAGGAAAAACAGACTTATCGGGAGTGTTACATAAAGGCGAAGAAAGAGGCAAAGTTAGCAGTTACGACAGCTAAGAACGCAGCGTTTGCTCGTTTGTACGAGGAGCTCGAGGGCAAAGGCGGGGACAAGAGGTTGTACCGGTTGGCCAAGGTGAGGGAGAGGAAAGCCCGTGACTTAGACCAAGTCAAGTGCATCAAGGACGAGGATAGCAAAGTGTTGATGGACGAGGCACTCATTAGGAGAAGGTGGCAGACATACTTCCATAAACTGTTGAATGAGGATGGGGATAGACACATTGTGTTGGGTGAGTTGGAGCACTCCGAGAGTTGGCAGATTTTGGGTACTGTAGACGGATTACGGTAGAGGAGGTGGAAGGGGCGATGCGTAAGATGTGTAGGGGCAGAGCAACAGGGCCAGACGAAATCCCGGTGGAATTCTGGAAGAGCGCGGGGCGGGCAGGTTTGGAGTGGCTCACTGGTTTGTTTAATGTTGTTTTTAAGACAAAGAAGATGCCCAAAGAATGGAGGTGGAGTACGATGGTTCCGCTTTACAAGAACAAGGGTGATATCCAAAATTGTAACAATTATAGGGGTATCAAGTTATTGAGTCACACTATGAAGGTTTGGGAGAGGGTGCTGGAGGCCAGGGTAAGGAGGTGCGTGTTTATTTCCTAGAATCAATTTGGAATCATGCCGGGACGTTCGACTACGGAAGCGATTCATCTGGTAAGGAGATTAGTGGAGCAGTACAGGGAGAGGAAGAAGGATTTGCATATGGTGTTTATTGACCTTGAGAAGGCATACGATAAAGTTCCGAGAGAGGTCCTGTGGAGGTGTTTGGAGGTTAGCGGCGTCCCGGTAGCGTACATTAGGGTGATTAAGGATACGTACGATGATGCTAAGACTCGTGTGAGGATTGTGGGTGGTGACTCGGAGCATTTCCCTGTGGTGATGGGGTTGCACCAGGGATCGGCTCTTAGCCCATTTTTGTTTGCCTTGGCGATGGATGTACTGTCGCGTCACATTCAAGGGGAGGTGCCTTGGTGCATGCTATTTGCCGATGATATAGTGTTGATTGATGAGACGCGTAGCGGAGTTAACGCGAGGTTGGAGGTTTGGAGACAGACCTTGTAGTCTAAAGGTTTCAAACCAAGTAGAACCAAAACAGAATACTTGGACTGCAAATTCAGTGAGACCCATGATGCAGACGTAGAGGTTAAGCTTGATGGTCAAGTTATCCCCAAGAGAGCGAGTTTTAAGTATCTCGGGTCTATTATCCAGGGTAACGGGGAGATTGACGAAGATGTCACACATCGCATCGGAGCGGGATGGATGAAGTGGAGGCTCACTTCTGGTGTCCTATGTGATAGGAATGTGCCGTTAAGACTTAAGGGTAAGTTTTATCGAGTGGTGGTTCGACCCGCTATGCTGTATGGGGCTGAGTGTTGGCCAGTCAAGAACTCCCACGTGCAGAAGATGAGAGTAGCAGAGATGAGGATGTTGAGATGGATGTGCTGGTGTACCAAGCGAGATAGGATTAAGAATGAAGTTATCCGGGACAGAGTGGGAGTAGCCTCCGTGGAGGACAAGATGCGGGAGTCGCGGCTGAGATGGTTCGGACATGTTAGGAGAAGAAGCATTGATGCCCCTGTCAGGAGGTGTGAGAGGTTGGCCATGGAGAGTTTGAGAAGGGGTCGAGGTAGGCCTAAGAAGTACTGGGGAGAAGTGCTTAGGCAGAACATGGCGCTGCTTCAGCTCACTGAGGACATGACCCTTGATAGGAGGGTGTGGAGGTCGAGGATTAAGGTAGAAGGTTAGTAGATAGTTTATAGTGTTTACCGATAGGCTTAATAGCGTGCATGTCCCTTCATATTCTTAGATTTTTATTACGATATGTGATTTTGTTCGCCTCAGGTATTGTATTCCCTGTTGCTATTTGATACTACTTATCCTTTATCTCTCCCTTTTTCTCTTCCACCTTTCTTCCTTCCTTGCTTCCCTCTTCCTCTTCTTGCCCTTCTTGAGCCGAGGGTCTATTGGAAACAACCTCTCTACTTGCATTAGGTAGGGGTAAGGTCTGCGTACAGACTACCCTCCCCAGACCCCACATGTTGGGATCAAACTGGGTTTGTTGTTGTTGTTGTTTAGCTCTTATCGAGATCATTACAATTGGTATCAGAGCCTCAATCCTGCGACTGTGAAGGTGGTGATGGTTGAAGGAACGAGGCTGAGAGTTATGGGTGATAAGCTGGTAAGATACGATGAGATTTTGAATGAAGTTCTGACCACTCAAGAGGAATTACGCAACACTCAAAATGGGATACAGGGTACCTTAGAGCTAATCTTAGAGAGGTTGACAAATTTGGAAAGAGTTCCCCAACGAGCTCAAGGTGACAGACCTCAAGGAGATGGGCTCTTACCCATACCAGGTCAGGAATTGAGACAACACAGGCCTCAAGCTATGCAGGCCCCTTCTCCTAAGTGGGAATGGCCTTACTTTGAAGGTCATGGACCTAAGGTATGGGTTCAAAAGTGTGAAAGGTACTTTAATCTGTATAGAACCCTAGATAATCTGAAGGTAAAAGCTGTTGCACTCTATCTGAATGGATTAGCTGATACTTGGTACAACTCATTAGTGCTACGTAGGGGTAAAGTAAGCTGGACTGAATTCAAAGAGGAGTTGGTTATTCGATTTGTGGAGGAACTAATGAGAGACATAGTGGAATAGTTTAACAAGTAGAGTCAAGTAGGGTCGGTTGATGAATTCCTAGGCAAGTTTGAAGACTTGAAGGCTCAAATGTTGATAAGGAATCCTCACTTGGATGAATCACACTTCATCTCCAGTTTCATTGGAGCTCTAAAGGAAGAGATTAGGTTTGGGGTGAAGTTGTTTAAGCCTACAACTCTGCGGTTTGCTGTAGAACAAGCTAGACTGCAGGAGAAGGCAATAGAAGCTGCTCACAAAAGAAATAAAGTCATATCCAAGCCCTCCTTTGTGGCTGGCAATTCTGCTAGTACAAGGGTACCTGTTGCAGCTGCAGTTAAACCAAACTCCTTCAGGCTTAGTCCTGAAGTTTATGAATACCGTAAAAGCAACAACTTATGTTATAAGTGTGGTGAGAAGTAAGGCCATCAGTGTAAGAAGAAGCAACTGAACTGCATGATAGGAGCAACAGAAACCCTTCCTGAGGGTATTGCGATAGAAGAGAAACAACCATGTGCAGACTTGATTATTGAAGGAGAGATGGCGCAGGAAGTCATGGAAGCTGTGTGCATGAATGCTCTGTCAGGTAACAACAGGGGGGTCAATACCATATTGGTTCGAGGTACCATAGGAAATAGGAAACTAACAGTGCTAATTGATTCTGGCAGCACTCATAGTTTCATTGATATTACCACAGTCAAAGAGACAGGCTACCAAGGTAGGCATTGTCCACCCGTGAGAGTAACAATGCCTGATAGGAATTATGTCATGTGCACTTCCATTTGCACAGGATATCAGTGGAAAATGCAAGGTAGACCCTACCGGGAAAACTTACTAATCATTCCACATGGAGGCTGTGACATGGTGATGGGCAATGATTGGATGAAGAAGCATAATCCCACTAAATTTGACCATGAGAAGATGTGTGTCACCATTTGGCAAGAAGGGCAACAAACTAGTAATGCAAGGTATTTCTGAGGAAGGTAAGTTGAATATGATTTCCAGTGGAACAATGGGAAAGATGTTGAAGAAAGGGCAAGCTCTGATAGCTCATCTGTTCATGATGAATTCCTTGGGGACAGAAGATTAGGAACCAGTAGGAGAGGCCATTAAGGAGGTGTTGCATCAATACCCTGATGTGTTTGCAGAACCCGTCTTACCCTATGTCAGGACCTTAGATCACACCATTCCTCTGAAACCTAGAGCCATGCCAATCAGCCTAAGGCCTTACCGGTACAACTACTATTAGAAGGATGAGTTGGAAAGACAGGTTAAGGAGATGCTCACTAATGGCATAATACAGCATAGTCAATCACCCTTCTCATCACCAGCATTGCTTGTCAAAAAGAAGGATGGGACTTGGAGGTTCTGGGTAGATTATAGAGGGCTGAATGATATCCCAGTAAAGGACAAGTATCCTATACCTATTGTGGATGACCTTTTAGATGAACTAAGTGGATCTATGATCTTTTCCAAGGTAGATTTGAGAGATGGTTATCGCCAGATCAGAATGAGGTTAGAAAATGTATATTAGACAGTCTTCAGAACTCATTTAGGCCATTATGAGTGATGCCATTTGGATTAACAAATGCACCAGCTACCTTTCAAGCTTTGATGAACTAGGTTTTTCAACCTTTCCTTCGAAAGTTTGTATTGGTCTTCTTTGATGACATCCTTATTTACAGTTTATCTGAAAGAGATCATGTGACTCATCTATTGCTGTCTTTGATACCCCGAGGAAACATTCCTTATTTGCAAAAAAGTCTAAATGCTCATTTGGTCAATCTAAAGTTGAGTACTTAGGACATATCATACATGCAGAAGGAGTGTCTACTGATCCATCTAAAATACAAGCTATGGTCGACTGGCCCAGACCAAACTCATTGAGGGCACTTAGGGGATTCTTGGGATTGACTGGATACTATACAAAGTATGTTGCTAATTATGAAATCATTTGTAGACCCTTAACGGACTTACTCAAAAAGGATGCTTTTAAATGGAATGATGAAGCTGACCTGGCTTTTACAACCCTCAAGAAAGCTATGTCTTCTACACCAGTGTTAGCCTTACCTGACTACACTAAGGATTTCATAGTTGAGACGGATGCTAGTCAAAGTGGCATTGGAGCTGTGCTTATGCAAGAAGGTAGACCAATAGCCTATTTTAGCAAGGTTTTGGCTCAAAGGCACAGGGGTAAGTCAATCTATGAGAAGGAGTATATAGCCTTGTTGAATGCAGTTGACAAGTGGAGGCACTATTTACAATATCTTCTGGAACAAAGAGTTACTTCTGCTATACAATAGAAGGGACTGACCAAGTTACTTGGGCTGGATTATGAAGTACAGTACAAGAAAGAGGTTGAAAATAGGGTAACTGATGCCCTTTCTAGGCAACAGGAAGACTCAGAATGTCACATAGGCCAATCTCAAGGAACATTACAGGCAATCGGTGTCTCAGTTCCTTCTTGGATGCAGGAGATAGCACACAGTTATGAAGGAGACTCTAAAGCTACAGAAGTGATCAGTCAGACAACAGTGACTCTACAAAGACCTAGCATCTGGCATTACACTTCCAGCATACTCAGAAGAAAGGGAAAGATCTATATTGGTATTAATGGTGATCTCAGAACTCAGCTGATCTCCACATTCCATGATTCTCCTATAGGTGGACATTCAGGACAGCTTGGGACTCTAAAAAGGTTATCACAGGTGTTCTATTGGCCTAGGATGAAACAGATGGCCATTGACTATGTGGCCAGCTGTGATATTTGCCTCAAGAGCAAGGATGACAACATGGCCTATCCGGGACTATTGCAGCCTCTACCCATTGCTAACCAAGCTTGGAGCCACATTAGTATGGACTTCATAGAAGGTTTACCCAAGTCCCAGAACAAAGAAGTGATCCTTGTAGTAGTTGATCGAATGACCAAGTATGCACATTTCATAGCCCTTGCTCACCCTTATACAGCAGCAACAGTAGCTGATGTGTTCTGGAAGAGGATACATTGCTTACATGGCACTCCTGAGTTCATAGTAACTGACAGAGAGATAAAGTATTCCTAAGCAACTTTTGGCAATCCTTATTCAAGCTATTGGGGACTCAGCTACACCACAACACTGCTTACCACCCTCAAAGTGATGGCTAAACTGAAAGAGTCAATAGATGTTTAGAGAATTATCTCAGGTGCATGACTGCTATTGACCAACACAATGGAAGCAATGGCTGACTGCTGCAGAATGGTGGTACAACACCAACTTCCACACCAGCCTGCAATGCACCCCCTTTGAGACTTTGTATGGTTACACCCCCCCTCGACTATTCCTAGGACCCTTATTGGAGACAGTGGTACAAGCGGCTGAAGATACAGTGATGAGAAGGCAATAGATGCAACAACTGTTAAAAGACAACCTCACTAAGGCTCAGGAGAGAATGAAATACTATGCTGACAAGAGAAGATCCGATAGGAAGTTCCAAGTGGGTTATATGGTCTATTTGAAACTGCAACCTTATAGGCAAACCTCCCTTGCATTGAGAAAGAACCTGAAACTGAGCTCTAAGTATTATGGACCCTATAAGGTTCTTGCTAGAGTTGGTATGGTGGCTTACAAATTAGACCTTCCTCTTGAATCTAAAGTCCACCATGTGTTCCATGTCTCTCTACTCAAGAGGAAGGTGGGTAATATAGTGGTAGTGCAGACCACTCTGCCTATCACCGGTGAAGATGGTCAATTCTTATTAAAGCCAGTGGCGATTTTGCAAAGGCAGCTAATAAAGAGAAACAATGCTGTTGTGGTTAGAGTATTGGTGCAATGGTCAAATCTACCTCCAGAAGATGCCACATGGGAGGATTATCAGTTCATCAAAGCTATGTTTCCAAACTTCGACTCCAATTCTTTGAAGAGGTGGAGTATGTAATGATCCATTAATCACTACAAAATCAATGTTGCTAGCCGGGTTCGAAGTGAAGAAGCTGAAGATCAGCAGTAACAGAAATTATGAAAGGGAATAACAGAAATTCAAACGAACAGCTGAGATTAAATTAGAGTTAATGAGCTGCAAGGGCCAGGATGGAGCCACGTCAGCTTAGGTTGTTATAACCACCTTCAATGGAAAGAGGAAGGCAGCAATCATCAGGTCATTTTCTCGCTATGGAGTTCCAATTTAGAAGATAGTTATTGTCAGTTGTTTTGTAGTTCAACTTCTTTTCATTAATATAAACAGAAAATTGTCCCAAAAATTCTCTCATTTTGCAAATTAGTTGTTTAATCTTTTTAGTTCTTATCGAGATCATTAAAGATCCATATGTTTACGCCAACTATTTTAGGATTAAAACATAATTGATTAACTAGCCCTTTGTGGAAATTAGGTTATTCAATCCAAATTAAATTAATTAATTTAACCAATTAGCACTTTGTGGAAGTTAGGTTGTTTCCCGTAACTGGCTGAAAATTACTTTCGATTAGAACAATCACAGAAGACTTTACAATACTTTACAATCACAGAAGACTTTATCAAATAATTGACCAAAACGCCATATAAAAATATGAAATTACCGATAAAATCAGGGATAAGGCGTCCATCGCAGAACCTGCCGGTAGGGTATTTGAAGTATGATTCTCCATATGGCCGCCAATTTGCTTGGAATTCAGTGGTGGTATTGATGTAGTTATTATTCCCAGGATCAAACAGTGAATCGCCGAACACGAAGAGGGCAGCTTGAGGTCTGCTAATACACACAATTGGGCGAGTAAAACATGCAACCAAAACAAATATGCACAAGTAAAACAAGCCTGAAATTAAAGCCATTGGAGTACATAAACAAGTAAACCACTTGAAGATATTAGTGGGGTGCAGAATGAATTACACTGTTAATTCAAAACTGTTGGCTGAGGTGAATTATTGGCATAAAAATTCATTTTTTTAATTCTGAAAATGATTGAGTTGAGGACTGTCATATCTTTATACATTTTTCAAAGGAGATAGCAGAAGCCAGAGCCAAATCCATCCACTTGGAGACAAAAAGAAACCCAAAAAGAAGAAGATTTAAAAAATCACGAGAAAGAAAACAAATTACTCTCTTCGTTAAAGAAAGAGGGAGTCCAATATTATTAATTTTGCTTTCATGAGGGCTCTTTGAAAACACAAAGAATAAGGAAAAGGGGATAGATTTACCCCTTTAGTCTACAAAATAGTTTACCTTTACTCTTGTTTATATTTTAGTTGTCAAATATACCCTATTTCTAAGTTCTAACCGAAATCCATGTGTCCAGAAATAAACATTCCCCCTTAAAATTGACCAATTTGACAAGCTCCATTACTTTTTTTTTGTTTGCGGATGAATTTTCAGAAACCACTATTATTTAATGGCTATTAATTTTCTATAGTTATCATATACATAATTACTTCATATAGTTATTATTTGGTTGTTACACGTGTATTAGTTGTATTCACACTACTGTGTTCAGTTCGCCTAAAAATAGGGGAGTCCAGTTGTGTACCTGTATTCGCTGTATTCGCGCTACTATATTTATGAATACAGAAGCGGAATTCGCCTAAAAAATAAGGGAGTCTAGTTGTTTAATAACATAAAGAGAATCAACTGGCATGTATCACTCCTAATTTAACTCAACAAAATTAATTCTACATAAATTTCATTGCTACGCGACTTTATTCGCTATATTTATGAATACAGTAATTGTCGTGCCCCCTTTTTTCCCTTTTCGGGGAGAGTCCGGATTTCGACATTCATGGGGGTAATAACTCGTTTTCTTTTGGGAATTGGGTATTGGAAGAGTCGCCACCTAACGGATTATGGTGCGTTAGGGCACCTAGAGCGATTAACTCTTGGATTGGTTTGCATTACCAGAGATTAGGGTAAGGGCTCGAAATGACCCGAGGGGAAGGTGTTAGGCACTCCTCTTGGTCCACAACTGTGGGTCTCGGCCGAACTTACATTTACGAATTGGTCCATTAACAAATAAATAGTTGAATCAAATAATTTGCAAGTAAAGCTTGTTGTATAACTCAAATAGTAAGACAAAGGTTTTGAACAAGTTGTATTATAAAACAAAGTTTAAACAAAAGGAATTTTTAAAAAGGGGGAGTCCTAGGTTGGTTAGCTTATAGGATCACCCCACACAATGTCCGGTAAACACTCCTCAATGAGGGGCTACACGTGACATTAGCGCGTATCATCATATCTCATATCTACCCTTCCCACCCCCTTAGTGGTCATAAAAGCGAGTGTTGATCAGTGATCTCTATTGTGTGTTGTTACTTGTCCTTCTTAATGGTCCTGGAGGAATTTTAGGCCATCTACTATAGGTAGTTCTAGACAGACCCCTAAGGTTTTAAAGGTGAAAATACTAAGGCGACATGCAGGAACAATTAGGACCTTAACACATAAGATAAAAGGGAGCAATTAGAGGCTCAAGTTTACTTCCTCAAACAATACACATAAGCAGCACGACTCAAGCATAAATAAGGGCCTTTTGTTAAACAGTATCCTAAGGCATGATGTCTAAGTGAATATCAAGACACAGAAGATAGGCAGTTTATTTTATAAATTCAGAAGTAATGACCCTATCAATTGCCTACTAATTTTTAAAGCCTGCTAAAATCAGAAAGCCATTAAGTAACAGAAACCGTTCAGAGTTGCAGGATTTGAAAATGCCCTATAGTCTTGCCTACACGCGGAATAATGATAACTACATTTTATAAAACAGGGACAGATTTTAAGACTGACTCTTAAGTCCCTATAGGCATGCTTTCTAATAGAGAATTAAAGCAGTATTGGAGAGAATTCATTTCAGGAAAACAAACCATTAATTAGACTAGTTTCAAAGCAAAATACTCAAGAAGTGGATTGACTTATTTTAAACTAAACTGATTTTAGATCTAGGCAGAGTTTCTGGTGTTGTTCCATATAGGCATGATATCTAATTGTTTGAAAACTGATGTTAGAAACTAGTAGGCATGATAACAAATGAAAATACATGTAAATATCCATTGTAACAGAAGTTGGACTAGATCATATTCTATAGGCCTGGTATCTACTTGTGAAGTTAATTTAGGACCTATTACATGATTTCTATTATTGGAACCACTTGAGACCTATAGGCATGATTCTAACATAGCAAAATATAAATTCCTATAGGCATGACTTCTACTTGGTAAGGAAAACATAGCAAAATATAAAGTCCTATAGGCATGGTTTCTACTTGGTAAGACAATCATAGCAAAATATAAAGTCCTATAGGTATGGTTTCTACCCGTATTACCCCACAAACATGTAACTACCCACCCTTTTTCACTACTCACCCCAATATTCGTTTACAAATTATTATAGACCATATGAATGAATTACATAAGTACATAAGAAAAATAAGAAGTTATTTTATAGGGATCCTACAAATAGGCCCATATTTCCAAAGCCTCCAACAGCCTCAAATGCCCAAATTCCATAGATAGTGTCATTGTCTAGGTGCGTCAGAGTTTCCTAAGGATCTCAAGGATCCCGGGCAGTGCTCACACCTAGACTTTGTAACCAAATTGAGCAAGTGCAGTGTGGAAGGGCCAGCCTCAGTGCGCCAGAGTTTAGAGGGTTCTCAAGAGGATCCCAAGGCAGTACACACACTGGAGAGGCAGAACCTAATGACTTAGGAGTAGAGTGAGAGTGCTTGACACAGTTTGGAAGGTTTTAGTGGGAAAACACTATTAAAAAGAAGTTTGCTTGAAATAGTTTAATAAAACAACAGAGGAGTTATTCAATGAGACAGTTTTGAAAAGAGTAGGGCAATCAACAAACAACAAACCAACCTCAAGACCAAAACAGGTTCAACATCACACACAGAACAAAGAACCAAGACAGGTTTAGTACCACAAGCCTTCACACAGGGGTTAATGGGAATTGGGGATAGGTGAAGCATATAATGGTAAACACATAGCAGACAGAAGTCTTTGGAATTAGTATAGATATGCTTAGAAACACTGATCAGACATAGTCACATAATCAGCAATGCTTAAGGGGTTTAGTATAGGATCAACATGATTCAAAATCAATCCCAGAATCATACAAGTTTAGGAGTGCAGACTACTTTACAAGGAGATTCCTACCATAAACCAGATAGAGCAAGATCACATGGAGACAGACTACATAGAGGGGGTAACATGTTCATACTGATCCTAAGGAAGAGGAGTACATAACATGCTAACAATGTAAACATATCAACTACATGTTTCACAACAAAATCATAAGTAAAAGCAGACTAGAAATGGGATGAATTGAAGTAATAAAAGGACCATACTATTTTTGGAACTTGTATTGAAGTCAGAACATACTAGTAAAGAAGGTAGTAAACACAAAGTGAGGAGAAAGAGAGTAGAGTAATCAGCCTTGGCTTGCAGCCGGCTGACTTAAAACAATAGCAAGTAACCAGAGAAAAGAGAGCAGAAGAGAGTTTTTTGTGTGAGAGAGAGTTTTGAACCAATGTGTTCGTGTGTTTGTGTTAATGAGAGAGTGTGTATATATAGTAGTTCGAAATTAGGGAAAATAAGGCAAGAATTACAGTAGTATAGTAATTATGGAACCAAGTACTAATCAGTATCAAATCAATGCAAGGACTCTTTTAATTAAGGGGTAATTAACCAACAGCAATGGGCAGGAAATGTTTAAGGAAAGAAATCAAGTAGGGTATCAGGTACAAAATAGACAATTAGGGGTAAGTACATAAGAGTTTAATTAAAAAACAGCTAGTGCAGAATTAGTAAAATACTCGGTTAACCAAATAAGGTAAGAAAACAAAATAAAGTTGCAGAATATGGAAATAATCGAAAATCAGCATATAGTAAATTAGTGAATCAAGGAATCGAAATTACTGATTTAAGGAGAGTATCTTGGGTTCCCATAAATAAGCAAATAAACCAAGTTTAAAAATGGAAGTTTTCGAATCAAGCCAAGAAACAGGGAGCTTAGAGTCAATCAAAGAGAGAGTCATGATTCAGTATTCAGCATATAAATAGAGTAAGATAAGAATAAACAGACATAGCAAACATGCAAGTTAAACAGCACTGAAAGAAAGAAGCGAGCCTTGAATAGTCAAGACGAACACAAGCACATAGAGGTGATATAAGTTAGGCTAAAAACTCAGTAAGAACATATTCGAGGCAAGATAGTCACAGAAACTCAAACAAGAAACGAGCAATCATGCTAATACACAGAACCAAACGAAGAAATCTAGAAAATTAGGGCTTTCAACATAGGCGAGTTGAAAAGGTAGTAAATCATAGAATCAGTCGAAATATGCAAGAAATAGAAGTTTAAACATAAAGAATCAGTTTAAACAAAGTCTTAAAGAAGTTCTGAAACCCTAAATTTTTAGAAGAAGGTGAAAACACTAGAAATCACATGATTCTCGTAGAGAGTTCCAAGGACAGTGTAAAACATCAAAGAAACAAACTCAAATCATTTTAAATTTGTACAGATCTAGGAGATGTAGGCAGAAATTAGGGTTTCAAAAGAAACCGAAATAGAGATGAAAGAACCTGTCTAGAATCCCAAGGATCATAACAAATATGGCATGATTTTGCTCGAAATCACACTGGAGTAGCCGAGAATAGAAAATAACGAACCCTAGATGCAAGTTGGCATGACCCGAGGCCCTTGAAGACCTTAGATAAGGCAAGCATGTCATTAGAGAAGCCATTGGAGGCTTAGGAGTCAATGAGAGATCACCGGAGAAGATCGAAGAAGAGAGGTCGGCGGTTTGAAGGGCTAGGGTTTGGTTGAGTTACTGAGAGAGGAGAGAATACTGTGGCGGCGGTCTATGAAAAATGGTTAGGGTTAGGGGTCGTTTAGAGTTAAAAAAGGATGGAACGAACGAGGGCCGTTGATCTTTTAGATCAACGGCCAGGATTTGACGGGTCTTGGTCGGGTAATTTCATTTAGGGCCTAGGTCGGGTAATTTGATTAGGAATTGGGCTGGGTATTGGGTTCAGTTAAGGCTAAAATCGAAATGCAATCTGGCTATATTTTAAATAGCCAATTTAATCCCATATAATTTATAATAA